GTTTGCGAAAGGGACATTCGGTCGACTGAACTAGTGGGCGATATCGGTGTCATCGGCGTTGAAGGGGTGTAATTCTTAAGTTCCTTGCTTTGGGATTCAGCAAGTCTAAGGTAGAGCTCGTTAATTTTCGACAGACATTCCTGATATCTTCTCTTCATATCATTAAGATCATTCACTGTTATATCATGATTTTTGTAATTCTGACAATCTAGCTTCCAAGGTTTCGAATTGTTATTCTTCGGAGAGGCGGGAAGCGTGCGATCGTGATCATAATTATGATCACAGCCATGACAGCTTCCCGGCTTCTTCAAGTGTTTTGATCTTCGGGCTGTTATCGTCATTAGGTAAGCGGTCTCTTTACATGCGTGGTTGTTTTTGATCCGGCATTGTCTCACTTCGCTCCTTTCGTTTTGTGAATATATATGCATGCATATATATTCTAGCATGCATTATTGGTTGTTGATTTTGTAAAATAAACTTTCACGATCATGATGGCATTTTGGCGTTTCTAATCGTCGGTCTTGGTTGTATTCTCTCGTCTTGGTGTAATTCCAGTAAGTCGTGGTGTTTGTGGCATTTTCTTCTTTTGCGGCTTTTTATCATCGGCTTCTAACTCTTTCTTATTAGTCTTTCCCTAGCCCCATGCTTCATGTTCAATTCGCCATCCGCGAGTTCTCCTTGACCCTTGGCGATATCCATCATCCCTCACATATGCTACCGGAGTTACGTCGGTAAGTTCTAGTTCTTTGCCTTTGATTCTTCGCCATTCTTCTCTTTTTTTTCTGGACAGTCCTTTCTTCCTTTAGGAACTCGTCCCTTGATTCTTTCTGTGCCACGGCGTTTCTTCGTGATCGTCGGTATCCCGGTATGACCTTTGGGACTGACGATTTGTTGAGAGGTAAGCAATCTCTTTCCTCTCTTTCTTTAGCCGTTCTGCTTCTTCCTATAATCAACATTTTGTCGACACCTTACATATTCGATATGATCCTCTCGCATGAAATTGTACAACTATCGATTTGAACATCGTGTCCCCAACTTCAACGCGAAGGAACAACGAATGCCTTTCGCCTTCGATCAACGTTAACCTGTAGTCTGGCACATTCTCCTCCATCCATTGCATTTTTTTTTTTTTCTAAAACAGCAAATGCTAATTCGCCATTTTTTTCTTTTTTGTGCATCGATCTTCTCACGATCATATGACATCCCGGCCGTATCCTCGGGGCTGACGTCACTTGACAAAGTAAGTTCTTTCATTATCTTGGATCGGGGGAAGGCTTCTCTTGGTCTTTGTTTCTTCTTTGAATAGGGGCGGCGAATTCCATTATTATGGCATCATTTATTCATCATTTTTTATATTTTAATTTTTTTTTTTGGAGGGGGGAGGAGAAGGTGCATATACCGCCGATCCCGTGATCATCGTTCTTTAGGCTTCGCTTTTCTTCTGCGCAAGCCATTCTGGAGCTTCTATCATTGGATTTGGACTTCTTTTAGGTCGGGACGATGCTTCTTCATCTATTCGGCATATACCAGTAGCCGAATTCTTCTTAGATAACATCGTTGGAGCGGAATTGGTTGTTGTTTCTTGGATCGTCACAGACACAACGTCGCTTTCGTCGCTCCTGTGAAGATTGAACTTCCTCAGGGGCAATTTCTCAGGGGTGGCAATCAAAGGGCGTTCCATTTTTGGATCTTGATTGTCAAACTTGCGTCTGAACATATGAGGCGCATCTCACAGTCACCATCAATTTGTCATATATCTTCCTACCTCAGGAGAAAGATATGGACGGAGAACTAATAGCAGGGAGACACTTTGTATGGA